AGAGAGAGGGGATGTGCCCTGCTGGAAAGAGAATATTCACTTTTAAAGAAAAATCCACTTTTAAACAAAAGTCTACCAAATGACACCATGATCATGATATCCATAACTACAATGAATAATCAAAGAGAAGGGAGATCAGAAGAGTAGAGCAAGAGGAACCAGGGAGGGAGGAGGGAAGATCCTGGGGAATGAGACTGATCAAATTTGCCCTTGAAAGATTGTCCTGTGGTTAGTGATACTGAAGCCTTGTGACCGATAGGGTTCAAATTTGATCAAATTACTTGCATGTATAAATATGGCATAATGAACCCCACCGTTTTGTATAATCCCAATGTACCAATAAAAATAAATAAATTAAAAGAGTGTTCCAATCCTAGATTGTTACCAGCTTCCTGTAAAACCTTGCCACCACTCAACTCCTCTCAGTCTTCTTTCTCTGCGTGTATGACAGAAATGAAAATGTACTGCACGATACTTTTCCGAACTGTTCTAGAAATAAAAACGACACAGGCTAAGAAAGTATGACTAAAGTATAAAGTGGATTGGAAATATCTTTAGCCCAACTCACAAACTAGCACTTCCTTTTCTAAGTTTTACAGTTACGACTTCAACAGAGAAGGACCCAGGAGCAGCTGGCTAACCAAGGCCTCATACCACGTGAGTACCCACAGCTCTTACTTATTTCTATGTCCATCAGACCTTGCCATTTCAAAGCTGGATAGCGCCTCAGAGGTCATTTAGTGTAAGCCAATGAATTGATCACCCGAGAGCCTCATAGAAACTGTATCAGCAGAAATCGAGGTGTGGGATAGCTTGCCCTACCTGCCACTCACCCACAAGGTGCTTGCTCCCTTTAACCGAACAGATTGTGCCTAAAATTCTAACATGAGTTTCTTCTTAGGTAAACAATTCACTATGGGCATCCTCACTCCTTTCCTACTTTTAATATTGGGCATTATGACTATTCTTTCCAGACGGGTCAGTCCCATAATGTTTATTCTCACCCCTTATTTTAGTTCTGGAATATATTGGAGTCTACCATTAATTGGGTATAGTCAATTATTTTCCTTTCTGGAAGATTGATTAGCAATACCGGTTTAGCTCAAAGGACCATCAAATTCCTTAATTATTAATTAATATTGATTGATTAATATTGAATTATTGGCCATACTTCTGGATCAAAGAAGAAAGATTTTCATATCATTTTGAAAGATACATTTGAAATGTTCTACCAATCTAGCTCCTAAAGCTAATTCTTGGTTATATATATGGAAACTGGGCGAAGAATGCCCCAGATGAATGGAATCACAGGATTCCAAGTCACGGATGAATGGAATCACCTTCAAAGTGCTCTGATCATACTAACTGACTCCCCAGTACAATTTAAAGATTAAGATTCATAACACTTGGAGAAATTCAGGTCCCTCTAGAATGATTATTCAGCATTTAGTAAGGAACCAATTTGCCCTTGAAAGATTGTCCTGTGGTTAGTGATACTGAAGCCTTGTGAAGTTTACTCTGTGCTTCAGAGCCAGAGTAGCACTAAAAATTCAACAGTCGGTGACCTTACAACAGAGCCACATTTTTAGTGGTCTGCTGGAAACAGCTCCCCTGTGATTTCAAGGTGGTTTCAGCAACAGTTACAGTAGCAAAAAAGTAACCAAAGAAAGCAAGTCCATGTGTGGTCTATTTCATCTTGGTCAGCCCTCTTGTGGAGGTGCTAAAGACAGAGGGAAACCAAGGAACTGCAGCCAGACCTCCAGTCAGGTAAATACAGTTTCACTCAAAGCTGATAATCTCTGTCCTCACTGATGTTCCTTTCCTCTGAATTCTGGAGAGGCGAATGAAGCAGCTAACTTGTTCACAAGTTGTTTAAACAAATTCAACCCATGTGCTTGAATACTCTGAGCCTGGGTCTTGCTGGGATGAGAATAAACATTGGGTTTTGTTGTTGTTGTTGTTGTTTGGGTTTTGAGGTTAAATCTGGGAATCCATAGAAACAAACAGGATTAACAGGAATTAACCCTACAATGTATTTCTAAATAACGCTTCTCAAGTCAGTTGTGGAAATCAAGCATCTGTTTTTGTAGTAGACCCAATGTCAATGCAATATTCTGTTCTTCAGGAAGAGTATAGACATTAGCAAAATGCTACTTAACAGAAATATTGCATCCATAGTCCATTTCATCATGAAGATAATTAATTTCTTTTGAATTAAAAAAATTTAATTCAACCAAATGCTAAAGGTTATCCATAGTCTCTGATCAACCAGCCTTGTAGAGTCTCTCAGATTGGTCGAGGGTGTGGATTCCGCTCTGGAAAAGTGTGCAAGCCAGGTCTGGTGCACATGGCAGGCTCTCCCTGAGCTGACCTTTTCTACTTAGTTCTACTCAGCAAGCTCAAGTCAGATGAGGCTCTCCACTTGCCCATGGGTAGCTTCTTCAGTCCGACCTGAGATTAAACGTGCCATGCGCATACAAGGCAGAGCCGTGTGTTTCCTCAGGCACCTGGAGTTCGTGGGTAAATGCAAGCAATCAGGGGAAGGAAAGAGCAACAGAGTCTCAGGGTCATTTCACTTCAATCTAAGGCCACAAATTTTAGTATAAACCAGACGAGGTGCAGGGTCCTGAAGCAGGTACCAGAGGGACAATGATCCTGAGCAACGTGATCCTCCAGAGAAATTCAGGATGTTAGGAGTTACGGTGACAAGGAACACACGAGTGTAATTCAATGTGGAGCTCATTAAGTTCCACAGAGGGCTATTTTTATTTCTTTATCCTATTATATGAATTTTTTGAAACAAAGGAGAAAGAATAGAAGAAAAACTAATGGTCCTCAAAAATCTGTTGTCTAAGATTTTTGATTTTTTATTTATTAAAAAATATATACACATATGCACATATGTGTGTGTGTGTGTGTGTGTGTGTGTGTGTACACACATAATGGCTGTCTCAATTGGGGCTCTTGGGGCCCCTGCCTCCTTTCCTGGGCCTCTTTTTATTCCTTCCAGAAGCCCCATGAGAATTCCCACACGATTGCTGGTTCTGTTCAGAATAGAAGTTGAAAAACACTAACCTAGTCAAATCCTTATTTGTCTTTAATGTTCATGAAATTGAGGTTGAAGATGCCCAAGAGAATTTTCCAGCTGTCTCAAAGGCAGGTCCAATGTGATCCCATTTTCTGTAGTTTTTAATTTATGAGAATTTAAATGCATGCAAAATCAGATTTTTCATAAGATCTCACTTTGCTCATGAAATTTGAAATAATTCCAATCCTCCCTTAAATTTTTAAAACTTATCATAAATTTCCTAAATCCAAAACGAAGAGCCAAGTGAATTGACTATTCTTAGACCGCTAACATACAGCAGTGCTCTTGAGCTGGTCAGCAGAAACGCAGGCCATCCTTGGGTAGAATTGGTCTCACATTTTACATCAGGTTAAGTCTTCAGAGTTTGTCCTTTGCCAAAAAAACAAAAAAACAAACAAACAAAAAAATACAAACAAACAAAAAAATGCAGCCCCCTTGTAATGCATCAGAGAAAAGACCGGAATCTGGGTCTCCCAATCCCCACGTAAGCCCATTTTCTCAAAGTTCAGAAGGAATCACTTGACTCTTAAAAGCACTTACTTACATTTTTGCCATTAAAAAAAAAATTCAGTTGGAATTTGACAAATTAAAAACAAGGTGTGCATATGCCAAGGATAAACCCATGGTTTTAATGAAATGGCGTCAGGTTCTGCAGGATGATCTGTGCTTTGTTATGACCAACATCTAATGAAAAACTCCACTGACTTAGTTCTGTGGCAGATCTCACTTGAGTTGCACTCGGAGATGCTGATTAAATTTTAAGGTTTCTCTCCCACTGACTCTACAGAGCTAAACCACAAATATTTCCTAGTTGATTAGTGCAACGGGTCCAGCAGGGTTGAAATTCTCCTCTTTCCCTCTTCCTAGCTATGCATCCTGCAGATTTTAAGGTTGCTGATCAGTAAAAAAGGAGTCCCCAGCCCCCAGCCACAAATCATGTTTTATAATCCCCTATTACTTCTCTTAAGTATTCACTTTGTTCTTGTTGGTATGAGTTATGAGTTTAGGATTTCCCCTCTTCAAATGCTTTGAATAAACTTAAAGGCATCTTCTCTTGACTAAAAGTCAAGAAGGACAGGGTTCTAAGGTCACTGTAGAACCCCTTGAACAACTTTGAGCAATAAGAAGCGGATTCTTGGGTCAGAAGTGTGGATCTCAGCCATATCCTCAGATTGCTCTCACATTTGTAATACCAGCTGTGCTGTTTAGTTTTTAAAATAGTCATGATATCTTGGGGAAATACCTTCTCAAAGTGAAATATTAGAAATATTACTTTAAAGATTTATCATTTGGATTTCTTTCCAAAACCTCACCTCTGAATCTCAAAATGGAGATTTTGAATTGACTAATTTCCCACGGTTATTAGAACTCAAAGGAAATGACTTCACTGTCCCTCCCTACCAGGTTTCAGGCTGTAAGAGAGCCTCAAAGCCCTGTACCTTCTCATGGTTCTAGGACAAAGCTAACTTCTCTCCCCTTGTAGTTCTCTGGTGCATATTTTTTTTCCCTACAATTATTTACCCTGAGCATCACTCTACTGGGTAGAATCCTCAATGACACGTTTCATTCCAATCTATTCCAAAGCCTTAGTGTGGAAGGTCAACCAGCCCCATGATTACACTCTATAAAATAGCCACAGAGCAATTCAGGAAATATTTAATAGCCATCTGCTATGTGAAAGGCTCTGGGGAACACTCACCCAGAGGAATCAGACACATTCCTGTGTCTAGAAGGGGCCCCAAGCACTCCTCTTTAATTGTCCCCTGTAACAATATTGAACAACTTTATGTCCATACGGGAGAGTGGTCATAGGAGGATTGAAAGAAAGAAAATACCATACATTGTCCTCTCCTTCTCTGCAACTAAAGAGAGTCTAATGGGGTTGAACCCAAGGGAGACAGGAAGAAAAGCTTGAAAACAGAAGATGAGAGTAGAGGAAGTAAAACAGATGTCAGAGGACGTACATCCCAGACAGGGTACTATCTGTCCCCAGAGTGTCAGAGAAAGCTGTCCCTGACATGAATGAATCGTCTGGGCAGCTTGATTCCATGATCTGATCAATGTCAATGAATTTCAAGATACAATGAGCTGTCTATGAATGGTGCTGCCTTTATTTTTTTTGCAGACTAATCCAAGCTACAGCAGCCACATACTTACTGCAAAGCCTTGGTAAATCCCTGAATTCTGTGACCTTCCTGGTAGCAAGAAGAATGACGGGGGCAATTCCTGCACCCGCGCCCCATGCAGCTTCACCATAGTTTTGAGAAGTGGACTGGACAAAGTCTCTCTTCCTTTTCTCAGTGCATTCATTTGACTTGGCTTCTCCCCACAGCACCCTACCACACACTGTTGGCTGTCTGAGCAGAACACGGCACGAGGGGATTAATCTGTCTGCCTCTTCCCTTCTTTCTAACATCTCAACTTCAGAGACAGGAAAGGTGCCCTGGATTTTCATGGCAATCCCATTTGGGGTCAACAATCCCACCTCCCACCCCCATCTTTCTAGCCCCTGATCCCTAGAAACTACAAAACCAGTCATTGCAGACACATTTTGAATTCTTCTTTGTATCCTTTTTCGGAAAAATTCCAAAGTATTCACGCATGTTGCATCAAATTCCACAACTGTACAAGCCAGGTCTTAAATATTACAAAGCTACATTAGAAAAAATGCACTGTTTCCAGACCCCTAAGAGTATAATTTGGGTACCGAATAAGCAATTTATCACCAACCTAAAAAAAAGAGAATATAATTTCCAAAGTGTTATCACTTATGTATAGCATATATCCAAATTGCTAAAAAAGAAAGTACTCATGATCCAGTCTGTCTTTAAAAGGAAAGCAGAGAGCAAACAAGCATTACTTAGTTACTTTTATAAGTGGGAAACAGCACAGGAAGCTAATTGGACTCGTTCAAGGTTATACCAAGAATAGATAAGAAAAGGACAGAGATCAAATAGAGGGTTCCCAAATTTGATAGCACCCAGAACTTCTTTAATTATACACCTAAACTGCCATAGGTATTATGTACGAAATAGTTGTGTCTTTCCTCAAAAACCCCACATACATTAATTATTAATCCATATGTTTGCTTTTATTCGTTAACAGCATATACATTTATCATCCCATGCTTTTTGATGAAAACAACCATTTCCAAGCTATATTTCTATGATTCCAGGCAGTGGCCATGAAAAATGACAATTTTGTTAGCTGAGCATCCTTTCTCCGGATAGACATACCCTTTTCCTTCAACCTTTTGAAATACTAAAAATCAATCCTAGCCATCTATTGCTCCTTTTTTGAACTCAGATTCCCAAGGACCCTAGGTCGGGACCCGCTGGCCTTACAAACTCCATAGCAACGTTTCTTACACCTGTGCATTAAAATCACCTGGAGGAACAGATCAACAGATCCTTAGGTCCCATCCTCCCCCATTTCTGATGCTGTAGTTCTGACGTGTGGCTCAAGAACTGGACTTTCTAGCAGGTTCCAAGTTGATGCCGAGGATGTAACCCAGGAGCCACACTTCGGGAAACATGGCTTTAGTTGTTCGGGCTCTTTGATTCTGTCCCTGGGTTCTTATCCTTTGTACCCAATGAAGCTGAGTTCTCCCTGAGCCTGGTAGTGAGAGGTTCCCTTGAGAGAAGTCCAGCTCTGCCACAACATTCCCTAGGGTGCCAGAGCTGCAGTCCAACACCACACCCTGCCCAGTTCAGACGAGTCAGGCCTCTGCCTTCCATGAGTTCTTGGAGGCCTATTTTCTCCATAGTCTGGAATCTTGCTGGAAGCGAGAGGTTTGACTGGTGCAAAGAGGACTGCAAGAGGCTGGTTCTTATCTCCGGATCGTTTTTTTTTTTTTTTTTTTTTTTTGAGTTCTAAGTAAGCAAATGTTTATACACACAGCTGACCCAAATTAGCTGGAGCTTCAGGGACAGAAATAGGAATAGCCCGCAACCAAACTCTAAGGCGAGAACATGAATTCCCCTGTGAGAAGCGATTAATCTTCCTCCAGGGGGAACTCGTCAGATGTGTGGCTGACTGGATTTATAACCAGATTTTAATTTGAAATCACATGGACTTATTTTTTTAATTTAGGAATCCAAATTCCTTTTCGATCTTAAATGTCAATGTCCTTTAAATACAAAATGTTGCCATTTGATACTCTTGGGGTTGGCAGCAGAAGTGGTCCTTTGTGTATTTTCCAAAAAAAAAAAAAAAAAATCAACCAGGGTGGAGGGGGGATGCATTATGATTTTTGTGGGCCCGCAGGGGAGATGGCTAAAGCCCACATTCTCTGGAGTCACAGAGAAGGCAAAACTCAACCCTGGGGCCATGGTAGGGGAATTTTTTCATGGGACCCAGTACCCCTCTTAAGTTTAAGGGCTGAACTCACCCCACCCCACCCCCAGCTGTAAGGAGAAGAACATTTGTTAAAAGCAATGTAAGTATCTCTTTTGTATTCTTCCCAAGACCTTGCTAAATGGACATAGCTTCCCATCCTATAGAAGATTCTAGAAGAACTTTGTGCTCCTGGAATCAGAAAACTGGACCCTGTGAATCATTTCACAGGGGAGTTATTGGCATCAAAGAAGTAATGCGTTTTTAAGCTCTAAAAAGCTAAGCTACAGGAAATCCAGTGTTTCTTAGAAAAAAATTAATAAGATCCGCTAATGAGAATTGAAGAACCAAGGGGATAAGAGAACCAGATAAATTCCTCCTACATCCCAAGCTCAATGAGAAACAATTGTGCTTGGAATGTAAGAGACATGTCAAGTTAAGTTCATACTGTTCTTTTGTGGGGGCAGTTTCTTTAGGGAAAGGATGCTTTGTTCTTTTTGACCACTTCATAAAGATCAATTCTAAGATCACTTGAAAGTAATTAAGCCTCGCCAATAGGTCATACCTCATTAAATGACACCAGGTGAAGACCAACAGATGCAGGTTGCCTAGGCTCACAGGTGCCCAAAGGACCTCAAGCAGACTTTCTGTGATCTGGTTGCTTTGAGGGAAAAGAGACTCACTCTTCAGACATCCTCGCTACAAATTCCACCTGTTGTCAAATGCCAGAAAAAGTGAGCCTTTTTACTAAGGTCGGAGCCCAACCCCAGATTTAAAAAAAAAAAAAAATGCCACAAGCCACAGAGTAGAGTTGCACATTTACTTCTCGAAGTCACTAACTGGGAAGAAATGTGGACAAAGGATCATTTACATAGCAGCAGGTTGACCGAGAACAACAGCTGGTTTCCAGGTCAGTGAAAGATATGATGTTCAAACAAAATATTGGTTTTTTGCTTAATCTCTGGTCCAAGTGAGAAGAGTGCCTGTCAACTCGACTGGGCACACGCCAGCCAGCTGGAAATATTTTACATTGTCTTTCTGCTCAACGTTGTCAATATTGGAGTGAAGCAAGAAGATTGATTGACAGCATGACACTAACTTCCTAAACAGTGTTCCAAATAGAGAATAATAATATGTTCAACCACTGTTACGATGCCCACCATGACCATACGACATCTGCTTAATATCCAACAAGCCTTGCTGAAATCATGTGCAGATTTAGCATGGTCTTAAGGGCTGAAAGAGGCATGTATGCATGCATACACCCACCCACACACACATACACATGCACGCACACGCACACACACATGCACACACATGCATACACACACTTATGACCCCAAGTGCTAATTTGGCCAGAAACCTAATTTTTATTCTGGCCAAGATTTAGAAGCATACTTCATGGCCTGAGTGGACATCCATTAGAGTGATCAGAGAACTCTGAATCATGGGAATCATCAATTCACCCATACTTAAAGTGCAAAAAAACATCAATGCAATGCCCGACCCTCTGAGCAACCTCATCATTTATAATGAAAAGTGATCGTGGCTCCCAATGAGATTGCTCCAGGGGACCCGAAAAACCAATACAAAATGCACAGAATTTTGCTGAGGGTTGTTCTAGGACTCTGCTACATTCAAAGGGTTTACTGAATCATCACAAAAGAGAAATGGAGAGGAGGCAGAGGACAGAGTGGAGGTGGTATTTAGTCCTGGTGGTTTACAGCTACCATGTGTTTTTCATATGACTAACTAGCACTCATGTCTACTGGTTGGTAATAGTGTAAATTTTCACACCCTGTAAAAGATTAGGGTTATCAGAGGACCTAGGCCCTAAGCCCTAACTTTGTGACCTGAGCAAGTCAATCCATATCTGTGGACTTCATTTTTCCCACACCATGCAGGGTTGGAGATGGACTTCTCTATCTCCGAGGTCCCTTCCAAGTCTGATTCTCTGCTTCACACCCAATGCCTCGATGGCATGTCCATGACCAACCAGTCACTTGGTCCAAAGTACAGTCTCTTCCAACAATACACACCACACCCTCCCAGATCACAACTTGTCAACTCTCTCTTTTGAACTCAAGGGCAGAACAAAGTCATTGAAGGTATTAGTTACCTGTCTATCTCCTCCCTTAAACCAAGGTTACTTCCGGTGCCTCTGTCTCTTCAGGAGCTTGGAATGTCCTGCCTCCACTCCTCTTCCTGTTGCACATTCTGCCTCTGCTGCTCTTCCTGACTAAGGCCTGAATTCCACCTTCCTCTGTCTCCTGTGGCTTCCAGGCAGCGGCCATCCTCCAGGCATTTCTCTTGCTTGTGGCCTAATGACGGCGACCACTTCCAGACTCTGCCTAGCTCAGCAAGCACACCAGCAAACCCTGTGACACTGACCAGTACCCCCCCGAGGCCAGCCTTTGCTCATGTCTTTATCTTTCTGTTTCAGCACTGAAAAGTCCAACTGAATTCCATGAGCCAAGAAAAACTTTGGATAGTGACAAGGTAATTTTTTTGCAAACTGTCTTTCGTGAACTTAAACCATAGGTTATAGATCTCTAAAGGCCAAAGTTTGGGCTGAAGCATGTAGAATTTCTACAAAGAACTCCATCAGTTGGCCAGTTTCCTGCCCTGACACCATATGAAATCTCTGTCCTGTGACTGTGGAAATGAGATCAACTAGGAGTTTTGCAACTGCTATTTTGTTATAAAGATGTCCTCAATCTTTCTAATGTTGAAAAGGATCATAGCAAGGATACATCAGAGGTCAAAAAGACTTTAGAAAGGGAAGTCAGGTTGATTTGCAAGCTTTCTTACCTTCTATTATGGTCCTTTCTTAGCAACAAACAGATTTTTCTCAAATCCAATGATTGGATTTAAGTCAAGGTCTGAAAATACAGAATTTATCTGCAGTTACTTAAAGAAAGACAAGGAAATCATATTTATTTTCCTTACAGAGTTTTCTGGAGTTGGAGGGTTTTTTTTTTTTTTTGGGGACAGGGGGACTGTTTTTTTTTTTGCGTTTGAAGGGAGAAAAAATGACATATTCTGTCATACCTTCATAACAAATCTCTGCAACGTGAATTTATCAATGATACAAATACTATTTAGTAACCATCAGCACTTTGAGTGAGAAGGAAAGGCTGAGAGGGTATCTGTCTTTTTGCCTGAGAGTTTTAGCCTTGTGACTTATCAGTGGACACACAGGAAGAACAGGACTCTGCAATTCTTCAAAGTTGCTCATGAGTCGCTGTGATTCCCACTACCTGGAGAATAACAGAGAACACCAGACTATCTTTTATCAGAACTGCAGAAACCCCTGGGCCCTTCTCAGGGGCCCAAGAGGAGATCCCAATATAGTAAGATAAGAGCCTAGGGATCAGAGGCTTGGGATCCTCATGGGTCTTACCACAGCCTGTGTCGTCCCCCGACAGACAGCTTTACCATGCAGAAGACAAGGGGAAGCAGCAAATTAGCTGTCCCTAAACACCTTCCAAAGTCTGAATCTACATTTCTCCATGTTTTAAGAGCTAAGTCACCAAAAAAACTTGCAAAAAGGCTATAAGTTGTCATGATCGTAGATGGATTTACACAATGTTTTATCGCTGACCTTAGTTAATTTTGTGACCATTTCAACAGGCAATAGAACAGGATGGATTATAATAGAAGCAGCTTGATATCATCAATAGTTATATAAACATTTTATGAATGTGTAACCTATCTATCCCTGACATGGGCCTAAGCTTTTGACCTCTACATTATTTCCCTATGGTAAAATTCCTGGAGGGGACTTTGGAAGTGTTTTTTTCCATTCAAACATGAGAGACCAGGGATATTTGCATTTTCCATTTGTCATTAAAAAGTAGTTTTACCCTTTGAGCTTTTCAAGAATTAAAACTAAGTGGTTCTCCATGTTCATGTTCTACAGACTGAAGATTCCTTGAAACGCAAGGGCAGAAACAGATCCAACCGTGCCGACTTGGTTACTATGCACATACTCCAAGGTAAGGCTGCGTGAAATCAAACTTAAGAGACAACCACTGAGTGGTGGGCCATGCTTCCAGAGTTCTTTGTCTTATGCAGTTGCTACCTGCAACTTCCTTACAGAGAGGTATACAAAGATGTTTCAATTAGTAACCTTGTTATTCTAAGCCATGGAGAAAAATCAAGTGGGAAAGCCATATATATATGGGTTAGGAAGATTTCAGACTTAGTTTCCAATCTAAGCTGTGTCACTTTATAACTCTGACGGCCTGGACAAATCATATAGCACATAGGAACTATCCAATATGTGTTGCCAATTTTTATTCATCGGAATCATTGTTCATTTGGGAAAATAAATGAAGCTCTCTAGTTGCTTCTGTATCTGCTAGGTAACTGTTTGATGCTCCTCTGCTGGGTACACAGGGAAATACAGTCTTAGAATACCAGTACTAGGGCATGGGAATATAGCTCAGTTGGTAGAGTGCTTGCCTTGCATGCACAAAGCCCTGCATTCAATCCTCAGCAATACACACACACACACACACACACACACACACACACAAAAAAAACCCAGTGTTGAGCAATGCAGGCCCCGTTCCACTTGAAGGTGCCACTATTATTTTGGGGAAGGTGAATCAGGGCAAACCAATAATTGCCCCCCATACTCTGACACCTGAATAAGGGAAGAGAGGATTTGACTCCTGCTCCATGCATTGTCTTCCCTGGGATGGAAATCTCCTAGACCACTGGTGCCCAGCTTCAAAGAGCCTTCCTCTCACTTTGACGGTTTAGCTATCAAATATTTATTCCATAGGCAAAAGTATTGGATGTCTGCTAGGTACCGGCTTGTCTGCCAGACCTTCTGGGTACAGAGATGAATTAGGCACAGGTTCCTGCCCTTCAAGGGCTCTCAGAGGATAGTAGAGAAAGTAGACATAAGACTCCACTTTCACAGTCCAGCATGAAAAGAGAGAAAATGCACAGTGTCGTGGATGCACAGAAGAGAATAAGAGAGTCATTGGAACCAGAACGGATTCTAGGGAGGAGAAAGGAAATGAGTTGGCATGTGAAGGCTGGACCCAGTTAGCAAAGAGGAAAAACATTGCCGACTGAGGGAACAGCATGCACGTGGCACCAGCCCTCCTTCTCTAGAATGCAGATTTGCCTACAAGACGGTTGCCAGTCTTGAAATATCGTGAAAGTTTGGAATCTTGGTTCTTCAATCGGCATCATGTCTGAATCATTCTGGCTTCCCAAGCCTGATTATTTTCCAACCCTGGACCAGGTGGGATATTATAAGATATAGAACTATTTTCAGAGTAGGAAAGAGAGAGAAAGACAATATAAAACTCAAGGGAAGGGATCTGTGGGTTGCAGGGTTTTGATCCTGAGGAGGCATCCAAAGGATACCAAGGTCTCTCAGGTGGAGGTGACAAAATTCTTTTCTCTTTGCAGTGACAACATTTTGTGTGTCATCACAAAACTGAAGCTGCACAAATAATCCAAGAAATGCCATTTCAAGGAGAATTTTTAATGATAAAGTTAGCAAATAAAAATCAACATTGTATGTAGCAAGGGTATGGGAAATACGTGCATTCTTTACACATGGATGGTGGGAGTATAATGAGATCAACATTTCTAGAAGATGTATCAAATCCTTGAAAATGTATCCACCATTTGGCCTTATGATACAACATCTAGTATTTTATTTAAAGAAAAAGATCAGCCCTACAAAGATTTATATACAGTGATGTTATCATGGAATTACTTTAGATGGCAAAACAGTGAAAAGTCCAACAATAGGAAATTAGCCGAACAAATTGTGGATCATCTGTATGGTATGAGTGAATTCCACATAGCCAACTCCAAGCAAGGGTTTCAAAGAATAACCACTTAATGAGAAAAGGCTTACAAGATGTTTAGCCAAAGAAGCAGAAAACAAAATTATATTTATAGCTAAATTCTGGAAAGGGAAAAATAAGTAAACTGCATTTAAAGTCAAAGTCTGAGTAAAAAAGTATAAACCTAACAATAAATATAACTAACTAAGAAAAACACCCAAGTATTAAAAGTCATTAACTCTGAGTGAGGTGTTTCTGAGGCTACTTCTTTGGAATGCTTTTGGGGCATTATTTGCATTTATGATAATGAGTAGGTAGTGATGCTATAACAAAAAGGCACAAGATATGTTATTTCTGAGGCTAGGGGTGTAGCTTAGCACTAGAAGCCTCGCTTAGCATGTGCAAGGTCCTGAGTTCAATCCCCAGCACACACATAAGCACACAAGAGTTATTCCCTGCATTATTATGGTTTTGAGTTAAAATATCAGACTGTGAGTAGTCCCTGGTTTATGTCACATGTCACAGGTGGTTCTCATGGAATTCTCTCTTCTCCCCAACAGAAATTGGAAATTAGCGTCCTGGAGCACCAAAGATTAGTTAGACTAAATATGGGTTCGGTCCTCCAGGACTTTTATTATCTAAATTCAGAAGCAGCAATATAAGATGAGGGGCCAGTGCCTATAATTTCTAGAGGCAATAAAGCAAAGAACAGGAAAAAAATTAGAAACAGGAAAAAAAATTATAAAAATAAGAACAGGAGAAAATAGTTAGGCTTTGATCATGGACCTAAAAGAGAAGCTCATGGTGAAGAGTAGAATAGAAGAATTTCAGGTTGGGGAGAGAAAGTTAGCAAAGGTACAGAGTGACTTTGTGAGACATGGGAATATACAAAAGGGCCAAAGCTTATTGGGGTGGTAGATTTGGGATGGAAAGCACTGGTCAGGAAGAGAGGGGATTCAGTTTGTACCAGACTTGGAAAACCAGTTTGAGAGACCCGGATAGAGAGGATCATCTTTTGTGGAAGGATACAAGAAGTCAGGACTTGTTGAAAATTAGTACTGGGTGTGTATGCAGAATGGATCAGAATATGCTGAACCAGGAAGTCTCGCAAGGGGTGGTCTAGGGAGAAGTGAGGATTAGCATCCTCATTCTTTGGTTTGTAGTACCGATGTTCCCTTTATCACATATGCAGCTTCTAGACAAACCTGATCAATTGCGACTGATGAGACCGTCCCAGACCTCTCCTGTATGGAGAATTCTAGATCAATCAGTGACACAAAGTTTAGATTAGTAGGGTGATACTGATAGAATAATGGAACTGGGAGGCTTGATCTCATCTTCTAAATTTGCAAAGTTGAGAGCAAAGCTGCAAATTCTTATTGAATCTGGACTTACATTTCCCTCATTAAAGCAATAGGTTGTCTGGGTTATCCTTCAAAGTTCTTCCACAGAAATGAGTCAGCACCCACCCTAAAGAGGAAATCTGATGTCTTCCATATAGGGGTGGATTTAGGGATCTGTTACATGACCTTTCTTAACCTACAAATGATGAGAAACTGCATGTTGGATAAATTCAATTTTTTAACACTCCTCTGATTAAATCATGGTTTCACAGGAAAAATTTTTTTTCTGTTATAACTGAACTGGACATTTGACTGTCAGTGTCATAGCATTGACAACTCTAAAGCCCCTAAGAAGTCATATTTCTACTACAAACTGTCACCAGAGATCAAATTTACTGCAGATTCAGCCTGTGCTATTCACTATCCAAATCCTGTAGCCATAGGGTCAGGCAGGCCACATAGACACCATGGACTGCTTCTTAAGAAATTGCCAAATTGCATATTCCTTCCACAAAATCCTCTCAAAGCAAGTTTCTCTAACTTTTCTATGTGCCTCACTATTTGCCTTTATTTGGAAGTGTCTGGTCTTTGGTGCTAATCCCTGTGAAGTGATGATGATTACATTGAGAAATTATTAGGATGGTAGAGCAAAGTGTGACACAATGTTTTATAACCACAAGCCAAAAAAAAAAAAAAAGAGGACATTGGATTCTAAAAGTGATCGCTTTCGTTTCAACCCTTCAGCCTCCACTGCAGAGAGGTCCATTCCAACTGTTCAGATGAAGTTGAAAAGAGCCCGCCTCGCCGATGATCTCAATGAAAAGATTGCTCTCCGACCAGGGCCACTGGAGCTGGTGGAGAAGAACATACTCCCCGTGGATTCTGCTGTGAAAGAAGCCATAAAAGGTAGACGGAACAAATTGCACCCCTGTCCCTGATGCTCAAAGGCAATTAAAGCTCAACACGCTAGGGACTTTGGGGGTAGTGGCCTTTCACTGGACAAAAGCCATGCCAACATACGCCCCTGAGCATTTCTTCTTAGGGTTGGGGAAGGAACTCAGCCACAAACACTCCAAGGTCAGGTCAACGCAGGCCAACTTTGCTCTACTCAGACAGGTGGACAACCTAACCGGATGTATTCCTCAAAACAGGTCCCCTCCCTGGTCCCATGCTTAGGAGCCATGGTCACAGCCCTCTTTAACTCCCTTTTTAAAAGAGGGGGTGGACCAGTCTAGTAGAGAGAGCACTAGCCCTGAACCAGAACAAGCTGGATTCCAAGCCCAGTTTGGCTGCCATGTGGCCGGGGCTTACCCAAGTGACCAAGCTGGAGATGACTGCACCAGGCTCATGGGAAGGAGGTTCACTTTTTACACAGTGTATGTGAACATGCTGTGCTCCATGGGATCAAAGTTCCAATATTCAAGGAGGAGACGTACACATTAATGCTGTCATAAACTGAGTAAAATCATTTTGCAGACCTCTTAAACGATTGTCACCAAGTGGACCCCCAAATCCTTCGAGTGATGAATTCATGTGGGGGACATGAGGTGAAACCTGGGGAAACAGTGGTAGAAGGAGAAAGGGGGGCTAAAGAGTCATATATATGGGTAGACTGACTTTCTTCCAATCAGGGCCACAAACAATTGTGAGAACTCCTGGTACCTACCTATTATTTAGTAATATATATTTGTTTTAATATGTTGTCTCCAGGTCTGTAGAAGGGCGTTTTTTTTTAATCAAAAACTAAGTTTGTTATGAAGCTGATCATCACGTTTATTCATATTCTGAAATTTGGCTCTTTCTCATGCACTCAGAGGCCACATAAATGGATACGTTTGGAATCTGTATTCATTTAAAAATATTTAACTGTGGATGAATGACCGAAAGATCAATAGAGGGAAGGGAGCAGGGGGTGGGGAAAGGAGAGGGGAAGGAGAGGCATTGGGGTCTGAACTAGAACAGGATATATTTCATGCTTTTTATTATTATGTCGAAATGGATTCTACCCTCATGTGTAACTAAAAACAACCCAAAAGAAAATATCAACTCTGGGAAAGTGAATTCACTCCTCTCTCGGTGCCCACTTACATATACCATTGTGATTTTTCTCTATTCCTCACCCTCTCCCTCTACACTAAATATCTTCTGCCTTTGAACTTGGCCTAGAGTGCTCAAGTGCTCTCTCTCCATCATTACTCCGATAGGATGGATGTCAGAGCCAGAGAAAAGTCTCCCTCAGGCAATCTCTTATCATTTCTTAAAGCATTCTATTGCAAGCTCCCTCGTGAGTTTATTTTTTTATTATTTTTATACGATAGGCAACAGATCTTAATTAAATCTGCATTCTTTGGTTTACAGGGAGACTCTATTTTTCCATGCGATTGTATGTCATTGCTGAATTGTGGCTTTCTTCTTCCTGCTGGGCCTATTCCTCCTTACTGCTTTGTGTGTGCTATTTATATAGGGGGAAGTCCTCCCCCTCTGTCACAGGCACTGTCCATCCTTTCACCAGTCTGTCCTTGGCCTTTTGATTTTGTGTACAGTGGTTTAACCTATGGCGATTTTAGATTTTTGTATAGTTAAATATATTCTAGAAACTACAAAGAAAAAGAGTATAGTTTCATAGTTTGTGTATAGTTCATTCACCATGATTATCTCCTCAAAGTACTTCAGTTTTACATTTAAATCCTGAATGCATCTGAAATTTTATTTAAAGTGCTTAGTTTAATTTAATAGTCTAATTTTATTTTTTCCCACAGTTTTATAATGTAGTTGACAATTCGTCTTGATATCTATTTTTTAAATCTTCCTTACAGTGCTCTAAGTTTCCTAATGTTCCTTGGATATTGTCAGAGTGGTTTATTTATTTATTTTTTCCTTCTTTGGTACACGGGATTGAACTCAGGGGCAATTAACTACTGAACCACATCCCTAGCCCTTTTTGTATTTTATTTAGAGAGAGGATCTCCCTGAGTTGCTCAGAGCCTTGTTAAGTTACTAAGGCTGGCTTTGAGCTTGAGACCCTCAAGGTTTGAAATTACAAGTGTGTACCACCACACCAAGCTCAGAAGTGCATTTTAGGTACAAATTGGAATCTCTTTTTCATACGCCAACTTCAATCCTGTTAGAATTTTTCTTGGGATTGCAATGAATTTATAGGCTAATTTATGATGAACTCACATATTTAAACCATTCTAATTCTTCCAAGGCAGAATTATAGCATCCCTCTCCACTTACACAATTTTTTAAAATTTCTCTTAGCAAAGCTTGTTCTTGTTTTAAGTGAAGTCACATGGATTATTGTTAACATATGGAAAACCTATTAATTTTGCACATTTATTTTGTAACTGAGCATCTATAAGATTTTCTTAATAGTTCCAATAGTTTCTCAGTTAATCACATTGTTTAGGTTCACAAACATGTACCTACAAATAACATAATAAATTTATTTTAAAACATAATAAATTTAACATAAATTTATTTCCTGCTTCTTTGTTTTTTGCCATATTGGTGCCTTGGCTGGTACTTGAAAAGCAATATCATGATACTAGCATGCTATATATTTAACATTATTTAAAAAGTGTGTATGGAATATTTATGACATGTTATATATAATTTTCACATATTTAGTAATCCTTTGTATCATATATTTGTATTTGCAAGCTATGTAAATTTTATATAAATTACATATATTATATAGTGTAACATGCTATATGAATCAAATACTATATTTTATTAAATCCATAATATCTACATCATATATAAATGTCCAACTTAATTATAAGATTAAGCATGTGACATATAAAGGACATATAATTTATATATTCAATAAATAATATGTTAATATATAATACAATTTAATAATTATGAATATGTTACATAGGAAGATACTATTATTATAGATGTGTTTACAGTGCATCAGAAGCAATAAATCGTGCTGTATAATTTTTTGTTATGTTATACTGATGATGACATATTTTCATTTTTTTTTAAATGGGAATGTTCATCGTCCTTCACTTCTATATATGATGTTAGCTTTTGTTGTAGGCTGGATATTCTTTGGAAATATTTTTTCTATTCCTATTCTAGTAAGAATAGTTTGCAAGATGAATATCGAGGTTGCTAAATGCTTTCAAAACATACGATGGTGTGGATTTCTTCTTTAATCTAGCCGTGTGGTTTTTGCCACCTTTCCAACTGTCCTGAAATTTCTGGAAACGATTTTTCATGAATTTTGTTTTTAGAATTTGCTAGTGTTTTATTTGGGATTTCCCATCTATGTCATCATTAGTTGGAATCTCACGAGCTGCAAAATAAACCAAAAAACTTCTTAACAAGAGAAGTTTATTTCTTGTTCCTAAACCGTCCAGGGAAGGCCCTTCTCCATGGCAAGTCTTCTGTGGAAGATTCCTTCCATCATGTTTCCCCACAGTGGAGAGAATAAGCTCTCTTGAAGACCAGATAGTAAATGCTTTAGGCTGTGTCTGTCACAACTGCTCAGCTCTGCGGTTGTAGTGTGAAAGTAGCCATAGCAATAAGTAAACAAATGGGCATGGCTGGATTCCAGTAAGACTCCATTTACAAAAACAGGCAGCAGGCCCACAGGCCACAGTTTTCCTGACCTAGAGCCTCCCCATCCTCTGATTCTTGCCAGTGAAGGAGGACGGGGCGGGGCAGGGGGGGGGGGAGATGGAGAAGCCCCCTCACGAACTTAAAAAGCCTCTTCCTGGAAATGAACTCATCACTTCTGCTCACATTCCACTGTGAGAACAGTCCACATGGCTGAGTAAGGTATCCCCTGACTGGGCAGTCATTTCTCAGCAATAGCTCTATACTACGGAAGGGGAAGCATAAATTTTGACAAATAGCCAACGCTGTTTGTCACAATATTCATAAATAATATTGCTCTAGGTTGCTTTTCTATTTCTCAGATTTAAATGCCAAAGCTCTGCAGATTTTCCTTCACTGATGAGAGGGTCATGTCCCAACAAACCCATCCAAAATCAAAGCTATCTTAAGTCGGAAATGCATAAGCTATGGAGCATCCTAGCTTAGCAACACCCACTGTAGGGTACAGGTCGTTTCCCCTGGAGATGGTGTGACTGACGGGAGCTGCGGCTCATTAATGCTGCCCACCTTCATGACAGAGTATCCCATGTCTGTCACTAACCTGGGAAAAGACAAAACTTCAAAATTCAAAGTCAAGTTTCTTCTGGATGCCTATTGCTTTTGCATCTTTATCAAGCTGAAAAGTCAAGAGTGGAACTGTCACATATCAAGGACCTTCTATGTGTAGTGTCACAAAAGAATTTATAATATTTTTCATATAATTTTTTTCATATTTTTCCACAGGCTGGAAATTTTAGATATTATTTCAATAATCAGTTGTTTTTAACACCTTAGGGACCCTGTACCTTTTTTATGAGTATTTTTAATAACTTTTCTTTAGCTTTTATTATAATGATTTGTGTATGCCAAAAGGAGAGGAATAGATGAACAAAGAAGTCAAACCCTGGTTATGTGATAAAAGCAGCATAAGGGGCTAGGATTGTGCCTCAGAGGTAGAACAATCACCTAGCATGTGTAAGGCCCTGGGTTTGATCCTCAGCACCACATAAAAATAAATAAAATAAAGATGTGGCGTCTAACTACAACTAAAAAAATAAATATTTTTTTTAAAAGCAGCTTAAATTGTATCTTAAAAATCAGAGAGACGTTCAAACTTCAAAAGCTCCTCATTTAAGGGAATAAATACAAACATTTTTCTAATTCCCCAACAAAGGGAAATGTAATTTTAAAGAAGAGTAATAAAGCAACCAAGAGGCAATGGAAGAGTTTCCAGTATTTAAGGAAGGAGCAGGAGATCTGTGCAGAACAACAGAAGAAAGGGTTACAGAAAGAGGAAG